AAAATCCTCTAGGTCAGCTATGAATCAGTTTCAACTCAACTGCACACCCAAAAGCAATATAGTGATGACAACACTGGACAATATAGAGATCTACGTTGTTGTTGCCAAGCACCAAAGAGTAGGAACCTCATGGCTGACCCTCCGGTGGGTTTTCAGAGGCAGTTAATTGCACTGGAGGAGACTGCCCATCCTTCTCCTACAAAGTAGCTGGTAGCCTTGAACCATGTGCCTTCGAGATCGCAGTGTTACTTCTTGCCCATAGGGCACCAGAGCTCCCTTATACCCTTAAAATCTTCTCCCAAGGGCCTGTAAAATTTTCACGGCGTCACATGGCATGATTGGTCAGATGTATCGCAAACAATTCTTCCCCCACCAAGTTCCAAAGTTCATCTTTCCTATCTACAGTAAGAAAATCTCATGTGCCTGAATTGTTTTATTTAGAGAGGCAAGAACTCTACCAGCACATGTCTATATTTTTCTTTTTTTAAAAAGGAAATCATGCCAGTTGTCATTCATATTTTCTGTGATAGGAAACAAGTTACATTGTCTTTCAGCAAAACATTTCTTTCTTTGACAAAGAACAATACTAAACTTTCCTGTGAACCTTTCTAACTTTCTGTCTCTCTCTCTCTTTTTTTTTTTTTTTTTTTAAGAATATTGACACATGTCCAGGGAGTAGTGTTTCAACACAAAGCAAAATGATGTGTCATCACATTTTTTAGAACTATATTTTGCTGTTCCTTCCTTCCTCATTGGCCATTTTAAATGTGTCTATTTATGGGCTTGATGAAATGGATACTTTGTAGATATTTACCCTATCAACTCTACATACTTAAGGAGATTTATAGGGTCCTTTTCCTGAGTGTAACCAACCAAAAATGCTCCCAACACAATCACTCAACCTCCACACAACCATAATTTTCCCTCCATACTGAATAAATCTGACCAAGGCATTAATCAAATATTCATTTAGAAGAAAGATACACTCCTACAAATTCATAAAAATGGTTTCACTCCCTAGAATTTCTCAGTTTCTAAAGAGAGAGGCAGACGCTGGTCGAGAGGCTGGCCTCTCTTATGGGGGAAGATTCTTCATCCCAAAATAAACTCTTCCTGCTCAAGTTAGAGCCTCGGGCTTAAAGTATCAGAGTCCTGGAACCAGAACAATACAAACATGGGATCAGGGGAATGAGACAGGAGCATTTGTACGTGATGTGATCATTGCTTTGTTAGTACAGGCTCAGTAACGTGCTGGGAACGCATCTTAACTTGGGGGGATTTTAGTCAAATGTAAAGAAAGACCAAGTGCCATCTACTGGTGATGAAACTGAAAATAAGTCACTCTTTCCCCTTCTGGAACAAAACCCAAGTGTCTTTTCATACTGCTGCCTGTAGCAGCTGGCTGTGTGGTTCATACCAATCACCAACACAGGGTCATGCTCCCTTGGAAAGGCTATCTGTCCCCTTCCCCAGCTCCTATTTGGAGCCACACTTAACATTTTTTCTTTTTTTTTTAAGTTTTATTATTTTTGTGTGTGTACCATCAAATCAGGTCTAACTGGTACAGGAGTAGATTGTCCCTCTTTCTCCAGCAGAGCATCTGGTGGATTCGAGCCACGCACCTCTGGGATTGCAGTGAATGCTTACATTTCTAGAAATTCATTCTACAAAACCTCATCAACAAGATGTTCAAAATTTCATGAAAGGATGCTCACTGGGCCACTGTTTGCAACTGTGAACGAATAAACAGTCCAATAGCAGAAGTCAGATTAACGACTTCACGGTACATCTGCTATGTAACAGCGTATACAAAGGACCAAGATAATGTTAAAAAAAATAGAGCTGAAGGAAGAAAATTCCACAGGGAAGAGGAAATTAAAACTAAATCACCTGAAATTCCATTAACAAACATTCAATGTTGTTGGTAAGTTTCGCTTCTTCCAATGCCTATTACTCACATTCAATAATACACATATAGTTTATCTCTATTGTTCTGCATCATCTTATAGTAAGTCTATAAACTGCCCATCAGAACTGACTTCATGGTGCCTAAGAACATAAACTACCCAGTTAACAAGAAACATTTCCCCCCCCCCATAACCTATATACTGTACCTCGATATAAACTATAGAAGCAAACTATCTGGAACTGTCCCCTTTCATTTTAACCTCTTCTCTTTGTTAACCTTGTCTAAGTATTGTTTTCATGCTGTCACCAAGGATAAAGCTCCACCATCTTCCAAAATAGAGACCAAGGAAACGATCAAATTTCTTTAATGCTCAACTCAGCATAATAACTTGGCTGGTGGGACGAATGCATGCTGAAGTGCGGCACACAGCCTCGCGGGTGAAGGGCTGGTAAACTCTGATCAAGTAGGGAAGCAAGATCCTCCAGCAAAATGAAACCAACTAGGATGATTTTGTCGGAAGAGAAAAAAAAATCTAGTTGGCTTAATCCTATTTGAATCCGGGAGAAGTACATTGTAAACCCCTAGAAAAGCTTATTTGGAGAGGAGTGTTTGATAAGTCAAGCTTATGTACCTTTCCCTTTAAAAGGTGGGGAGACTCCTAGTGGATTTGGAAATGCAAAAATAAGGAGTTTATGTAACCCTGAGTGTTGACGGAAAGTTTTATCCAAGTGCGCAACTTGACTGGGACAGGAGAACGAAGGACGAGGGTGACGCTGACAGGCTGAAGGCTTGCATGAGGCCCTACTGTATTACATGTGGGTTATTTTGGGCTGGTCACGAGAGACCTTGAACCTTGAACAAAGAACCTCTCCTTGCCTCCTGTTATTTCAGAAAAAAAAAGTGGAGGGTCTCAAGTGCCCAGAATCCAAAGCTACTATGAAAATCCCAGCCAGTGGGCTTATGAAAGTGTCCTTTCACATACGTGTGTGTTACCTTCTAAAACCCAGCACCCCAGAACCCATGTTGCGTACTACTTTCCCATAGTCTTTATAATGGTCTGCTCAGGACAACATCTGATAGGACTGATGGCACACAGTGAAGGCATCTGATAGAGCTGCTGACAAGTACAGTAAGAAAGGCTTAATAACACCAGTTATACTTGGTTTCAGTCAACTTTGTCCTCAGAGCACCGGTCCCTGGGTACTGGTCGGACCTGAATTTAGAAGAGGAAAAACTAGCGTTGCCATAAACACGGGTGAAAGCCAGGTTATCTTGTGGATAAATCAAGAATATTCAAGTCTTCAAGACATTCTCATAACAGATAAAGATGAGTACATTTTAATATCATAACAACAAAGAGAAAAATAGGACTTTTTAAAATATAAATTAGTAAGAGAAGGAGGAGGAATAAAACAAATGACACAACACTTAAACAAAAAAGTAAACACACTGCCATTGAGTCAATTTTGACTTAAGCAACCCCATGGGACGAGCAGAACTGTTCTATAGCTTTTTCTTGGCTGTAATCTTTACACAGCATCAGGACTGTCTTCAATGGCCCTACCAGTTGGGTTTGAACCACCAACGTTCAAGTCAGTAGCTATCTATCACAAGCCACTTGTACCACCTGATGACCTCACATCATGTCATTAACACCCCTCCAAGTTCAACAATAATCTGAGCAACATGTGACAGGTGAAGCCATTGATCCCAAGCCCTATCTTAGGCTAGTGCAAGCTAACTGGAATCTATCTCCCTTTCCTTCCATTTGCTAGAGTTTGACTAAGATCCCAAATAAAGACAGATCTTTCATTTCAGCAACAGACTTCCAGACAGTTATAAATACAGGCTCAAATAGTCTCACACATGGGGCTGGGTTTCAATTTCTGATATACGAAGTGCTAACAGTTTCGGTGATGACCTGGCCGAAAACCTTCAGTGCTCTCTTTGTCGGTAATAAAACTATATCATCTGAACAAATAACGGTCCAGTCAAATAAAAATTTCTCTTAGTTCCTTTGTCATATTATCCAAATTTCATTTTCGTCTTCAGCTTCTACTTCACCAAAATATGTAAAATAAGATGAAAACCATTCTCAATTTTCCATCTGTACAAAGCCAATATGATAATTTAATGAGTAATACTTATTGACTACTCCATGGGGAACTGCATTGCTAATCCAAATATTGTAACTTCAAAAACTCCAAGGAGAAAGATAGGTAATATCACGTGAGACTCACAGTCTCAGAAATCCAATGGAAGGTCAGCTATGAGTCAGTTCTAATTCGACAGTAGAGAATTTGAGTATGTATTAACTACAATTATCTGATGAGAAAGAAAAGATAAAGTAAGAGACAAGGAAAAAAGACTACTGGAAATGGAACAGGCAGAATTGATAAGAAAGTTGACACAGCGTGAAAATGTCACTAATGCCATTGAATAACTTGTGCAGACGTTCATGAGAACCAAACTGGTTACAAAAACTCTAATAGAAAACAATAAAGTATTACTTTTCAAATTAGCAAACAGTCTGATGACACAGAGGAAGGAGGTCCCATGGTGAAAGTGATTATTCATTTGTTAGTGGAAAGGTCAGTATGTTATATCTGCCAGAGGATTGTGGGGAAAAGATAGGGCAATCTGCTTCTGTAAAGATTTAAAAAAACAACAACCACAAAACAAAACCCAAATCTCAAAGTTGTTGCTGTCAAGCTAGAACTGACTCACAGCTGACCCTCGAGTGAGTTTTCCAAGGCTGAAAATCCCTTGGGAGGAACCGGCCCATCAAATTCATTTGGGAAGAGCCTACCCAGCTTTCTTCTGGGGGGACCTTTAATGGATGTCAGCTGCCAGAGAGGCATGGTCTTAGGAATGAGCAGTGTGACTCCCTATAATTTAGGCTTCCAAAGTCCCCTTCTGTAACACTTACAGCCTTGGAAACTCTGTGCGGTTGTTCTGTTCTGTCCTGTAGGATCACTATGAGTAAGAATCGACTAGACGGCATTTTACGTCCAGATCTCCACGAGCGGCTCGATCTTCTGTCCTCTGGTTTCGTGCGTTTCGGAGCGGAAAGGGTGACGGCGCCGCCAGGATGAAACTCGTGAGATTTTTTATGAAGTTGAGTCATGAAACTGTAACCATTGAATTGAAGAATGGAACACAGGTCCATGGAACAATCACAGGTGAGGATGTCAGCATGAATACACATCTTAAAGCTGTGAAAATGACACTGAAGAATAGAGAGCCTGTCCAACTGGAGACACTGAGTATTCGAGGAAATAACATTCGGTATTTCATTCTGCCAGACAGCTTACCTTTGGATACCTTACTTGTGGATGTTGAACCTAAGGTGAAATCTAAGAAAAGGGAAGCTGTTGCAGGAAGAGGAAGAGGCCGAGGTCGAGGAAGAGGACGTGGCCGTGGCAGAGGAAGAGGGGGGGCCTAGGCGATAAAGTCTTTCAAGATTTACTGTTTCAAAGGGTTAAGCTGATTTGGGATTTTTTTGGTACAGATTTTGTTTTGTTTCTGTCAGTTTTTAATAAACATAAATGTGGGACAAAAAAAAAAAAGAATCGACTAGACAGCAATGGGTCTGCTTTTTCAGCCAAGAAATGGTGGCACTATTATTATTTCTGTTTTCTAATAAATGAACAAACTCAGTAACAAAACCTAAGCATTTGGGGAGCTCTGGTGGCCTAGTGGCAAGGAGCTGCAACTACAATCCCAGAGGCAGACGGTTCGAATCCACCAGATGCTCTGCCGGGAAAAGGAGGGACAATCTCCTCCTGTACCAGTCAGATCTGATTTGACGGTACACTCACACAAAAATTAAAAAAAAAAAAAACTAAGCATTTTGCTCAAGGTTACACAGTGGTGAGATGAGATTTGAACTTTAAATTATCAGGTTCTAAACTCATATTCTGAACCTTGGAGAAAATAGAAACTAACATCCTCTCTGCTCTACCTCATAATGAGTTTATTCATACATAGTAAACATAAACCAATGATGTATTTGTTTCTTGGTTTGACCTTTCAAGAACTCTCTCTCACACATGGCACTTAAAATGTTAGGAAGTAGACATTTTTGAAAACATCAAATCATCTTATTCCCATTGTTAGCATTAATTCAACAACTGAACAAATTCTACTACAGTAGCAACATTCAACAGACGGAAGATATTTTCATTTACAACCAGGTGGTCGGATTAACCTACTCATTCTTTACCCTGAAAAACTTCCTAATGTTACTTCTTTCACATGACATCTCACTCCCAATGAAGTGTCTCCCTTAATACTTGACTCTGACACATCCTATTCTGTAGGTTGCCAACGAGCCTCATTATGTAACCCCCAAAACAAAAAAAGAAATATAAATTGTATCAGAGTATCTAAAACTTCCCATTCCATCCTAACTTGCCAAAGAAAATCTACCTCTGCTGTAGCTTTAAAGAGGAAGAATTCTTGCTGAGCGGAGAAAAGCCAGGTCAGTTCACAGAAAGAAGTTGGAGGTGGAATAAAAACTAGAGTAAGGACAGAATGCTTTCTGGGCTTGGGTGTTGGAGAGAGAGGCTTGAAGACTTTGGGGAGAGGTTTATAGCTGCAGAATTACAGGGATTTAGATCACTCAGGATGGAAGCCCAAGTGCCCTGGTGGTAAGTAGCTACACTGCAATCCCAAAGGTGCCTGGTTCAAATCCACTAGCTGCTCTGCAGAAGGATAGGCAACTTCCTCTCATGTGATTTTACCACTTTACTGCCTCTGAAAACTCACTTGGAAGGTCAACTCTGAGTCAATTCTGACTTGATGGCACACAAACAACAACAACAGACCAGTCAGGAGGGAGGATTTAAATATGAATATCCTTCAGAGATGCAAATGAAAACTACAAGTCTTTTGGAAATGGTTTTAAATTTTGTTGGTTTGTTTGTTTTATGAAATTTTTTTGATGGTTGATTTTGTTTCCTTAGTGCAACTCCATGGAAAGACTGACACAGATGCTGTCTTTTTCTTCTGGATTCATGAAAGTCTTATTCTTGTCCCATTCACCAATCCTGAGGCAAAGATCAGAGAAAAGATACTTTCTGGCAGGAGAAACAGAATGCACAGTCCCTAAATGAGAATGAGCCAGGGGTATTGACCTTGAGGATGGTAGAGGGGCTGCAGGTCAGCAGGACGTGCGGAGAGTGATCAGGACCAGGACCAGGCAGGAGTGGTGGTCACGGCTGATCATGTAGTGTTCTGGAGGTGAGGAAGTACTTGGAATAAATTCAAAGTGTAAAGGATAAGCCATTGAAAGGTTCTAAGCAGGGGGATAGCATGATACTGTTTTAAAGCCCTGTCAGATACTGTATGAAGCCTGGATTGGGGGGAATTGAACAGATTAGTTAGGAAGGATTTTCATATTGGTCCAACTGGCTTGGATGATTCTGATGGCAAGGGGATGGGGGAAGGTGTACAGAGTACAGCCATGCTTTAGAATCTAGAGTTAACAGCCTTGTGACAACAGTAATGGAGTGAAACTGGTGGGAAAAGAAAAACTGGGGATGTATCCTAAAACTTTAGCTTCAACCTTTGAGTGCATGATAATGTTATTGAAACAAGGAAGACAGATGTAGAAGCAAGTTTCAAAGAGTTCCTCTCGCACCACGCCAAGTTTGAAATGCCTATTCCAGAGATCCAAATGAAAGTTAAGTCCAGTTATATGACGCTTTGATTCACGGCAAACTCGTGTGTGAGGGCACAACTGTGCTCCACAGAGATTTCAGTTACTGATTTGTCAGTAACTCTTTACTCAGAGGCAACTCTGGGTGGAATCAAAGAGCCAACCTTCTGGTTATCAGATAAGTATATTAACCATTTGTCCCAACTTAGTGCCATTCTCTGTCAGTGTATGGTTCTGGATAATAGTCAGTAGGATGTTGGTTGCATGTGATAATAGTGGCATTATTTGATAATTTTCACAGTCTGTTGGACCCTTTTGGGGGGAATGGGAATAAATACAGGTCTCTTCTGATCAGTTGGCGAGGTAGCAGTCTTCCAGATTTCTTGGCACAATCTGTAAGCACATCTGGGGCAGCATCTGTTTGTTGAAATATGTCAATTGTTATTCCATCAAGTCCTATGGTCTTATTTTCTTGCCAATTCCTTCAGAGCCCCTTGAACTTCCCCTTCCATTACCATTGCTTCTTGATCATATACTATTTCATGAAGTTGAAATTGTTCTGTGTTGGCAGATTCTTTTTGGCACAGCTACTCTGTGCATTCCTTTCATCTTCTTTTGATGCTTCCTGGATCGTTCAATATTCTGTACATAGCTTCTTTACATATTTCATCTCGAGGTTTGAACTTGTTATTATTCTGTTCCTTCAGCTTAAGAAATACTGAGCAAGCTCATCCCCTTTGATTTTCTGACTCTAGCTCTTTACATATTTATTATGCATCTGAGAGCTGGACAATGACTAAGGATGACAGACAAAAGATGGATGCATTTGAATTGTGGTGCTGGAGAAGCATATTGAACAAACCACGGACAGCCAAGACAACAGATCTGTCTTAGAAAACATGAAACCAGCTTGCTTCTTAGAGGCAAGAATTTTGTAATGCCATCTCACCTACTTTGGGCATGTTGCCAAGAGGCACCAGTTCTTGGAGAAGGACATTATGTTTGGAAGGGTAGAGGGTCACTACAGGAGAGGAAAACGCTGGATGAGATGGATTGACAGTGACTGTGGCAATGGGGCTAAGTGTGTCTGAGACAGACAGAATGGCTCGAGATAATGCAGGGTTCACGGCTATTGTTCACAGTATTGGTATGAGTCATAATCATCTCGATGGCATGTAACAGTAGCAACAAACACCACCACCTAGTGACTCAATTGACTGGACAGACTAGTTAGGCTTTTATATTATTGACTCAATTTATATTATGGACTCAATTGACTGGACAGACTAGTTATGGCTTTTTATATTAGGCCAATCGGCTTCCTCACAATCTCAGATATGCTCTATTATTACATTCACTGTGTCAGTCATCTTGTTGAGGGTCTTCCTCTCTCTCACTGACCCTCTGCCTCTCCAAACATGATGGTTTTTTTCCAAAGACTCATCCTGACAACATATCCCAAGTATGTAAGATGAAGTTTCACCATTCTTACCTCTAAAGAGCATCATTATTGCACTTTCTCCAATACAGGTTTGTTTGGGTTTTTGGCAATCCATGCTCTATTAATACTCTTTGCCAATACCACAATTCAAAGGCATTGATTCTTCCTTGGTCTTCATGATTCATTGTTCAACTTTCAGATGCATATGGAGCAATTATTATATTAGTATGCACACACTAGTCCTTAAACTGATATCATTGCTCTTCAGGATTTTGGAAAAGCCATCAATAACAGATTTTCAAAATGCCTTTAATTTCTTTATAGCTGCTATCATAGGTACTGATTATGGATCTAAGTTAAATTAAATAATTGACAACTTCAATCTTTTCTCTGTCTATCATGATGTTGCCTATTGGCCCAGTGATGAGTTTTATTTTCTTGATGATGAAATGGAATGCAAAATTAAGACTGTCGTGTTTTATTTTCCTTTTTTAAAATTAATTTTAATGAAAGTTTACAGAGACTTCAGCAAGATCTTACTTGAATATTATATCAATGATATTGTTCAGTAATTTCCACACTCTGTTAAAGTACCTTTAAAAAAACGGTGGGGGGAACAGATACGGTTCTCTTCTAGTCAATGGGCCAATTTGCTGTATTTAAAATTTCTTGGGGCCTAATATCCACATTTCCTTTCATGGAGAGAAGTCTGTCCATTTGAGGATTTAACTTTCTAATAAATCTATCTTTTCTATTTTACTTTAAAAAAATAACATTTCTTGTGAAAAGCAAGTGAGCATAAGCAGATCTGCATGTTTGTTGAAACACCTCAATTGGTATTCATTCCATCAGTTCCTGGGGCCTTATATTTTTGCCAATGCTTTCTTTCAGTGCAGCTTCATCCTTTAGTGCTAATGGTTCTGGATCATTGTCTACTTCCTGAAATATTTTCATGTAGACCAATTCTTTTTTGGCACCAGTGAATCTATGTTTTCTTTTCATCATCTTCTAATGTTTCCTGCATCATCCAAAATCAGGATGCCCACTGCATTCTTCAGTATTGCAACTCAAGACCTGAATTTGTTCTTTAGCTCTTTCAACTTGAGAAATGTCAAATGTGTTCTTCCCTTTGGCGTTCTAACTCTAACCCTGCATATTTTGTTACAATACTTTGCTTTGTCTTTGTAATTTACCCTTTGAAAAATGCTCATCTCTTCCATGTCAGCACCTTGTCTCCAGTCACCAGTTGTTATTAATTCATGTTGATTGCATGTTCAGTCCATTTTCAGGCTGTAAAAGTTGATTTAAAAAGGGAGCTCTGATGACCTAGTGGCAAGAAGCT